CCCAACTATCCATAATATGTCTGCGACGATAAGGGATAATGGTGAACCCATGGTAACCCCTTCAGTTTTTTGTCTATTTACTTGATTTTGAAACTGAAAACCTGTCGATGTTAGGCACAATAGTACTCCCAACAAAAAATCCTCGATCAGCACCTCGGTTCAATGCGTAAGCTCATTGTCATCCTTGAGCCTATTCCTAACTGCCTCTAGAGCCATGTCGATCGGCATATTTGTGTTAAAACCAACCTTTTTATTTTCATTGTCATCTAATCTATGCTTTAAGTTATAAGAGTTAGCAAATCGGGATTTTCAGTGATTTCTTACTGGTCCTAGCATTACTGCTAAATATTTAGACAACTCATACGTCGGAGTGTTTCTAAAATTTGCTATACACCTGATGGGATAACCCGGGTGATGAATCTTAATAGTACCATATATTCTACTGGGATTATTAGTTTTCACTATTAAATTAAGCCATTCATTTTCTTCTGTAGTTTCAGTGTTACAACGGACTGTGTTTTTACTTCATCTGCAATTGTCTCATCTACTGAACTTAACGCTATTATTTATTTTAAGAATGACATCTTCTGGTTTCCATTTATTAACCGCTACACTGAAGTTAAAGCCTTTTTCTAGCTTAGGACTCCAGTTGACAGATTGACAATCCACTTTTAAATTATCGATCATTGGTGCTGTGCTATTTTCTTAGCTTCATGATTATTGACTGTAAATCTTTCTTCTTAATTTGACTATTTTAGGATTTCTTGAATGCGGCTGATCTTGCTTTATTCCAATTGTCCATCAAAAGCTCAGAGTCATTTTCACTAGCTAGTTTGTATCAACTTACATTGAAGTTTTTAGATATAATTCATGATAAGATTGTGCAAATTTTTGACTATTCTACGAATTTCTTATTTAAGACAGAGTTGAATAACCCATTCTATAGCTGCTTTGACTTTGTCACTTAGAATTAGGGCATGTAGACGTAGATATTTAAGAATGATTTGATTTATAAGACATTGATTATTGAATACATGGTGGTTTATGTATCAGTCTTCTGTCTGTAAAAGTCATTTGGGTTTGTTGATTATTCTTTGAAAACGGGTAGATCATATGTTTCATTAATATAGGAGTAAAATCTGGGTGCTTTGGTAGATTGTAATTCCCATTTTAATTAAATTTTGAGGGAGTTGTGGAGATTTGGAATTATTTCAAGTTGTTATTCATTGTAGACTGACATCGGTTGGAGGAGCAAAGGAAACCTGGGAGCACTGGACAGCTGTTTCGTCCTAGTATGGGACTCCTCAGCAGTGCGCACCCACCACCCCACCAGCAGGGATCGAACCCGCGACCTTCAGATCCCGTGGCCAGCGCGTTACCGTTGAGCCACTGGGTCAGAATCCAATGCTCCATATTTCCAACTTCTGTTAGCTCACGATATATAGCACAACCGCCACCCAATGTCATCGCTGAGTATTTGTCCTCATGGCCATCAGGCTGATGTCAGTCTACAATGAATAACAACTTGAAATAATTCCATTTTAGTCTGTTTACTGGAAATATCACACAGTGAAGGAACAGTATCATTTACTGGATAACGTTTCAGATACATAGTTTTGCAGTTACCTGATCTGAATATGGACAACAAACTACGCCCAAAACGTTATCCAGTAAAGGATACTGTTCCTTCCCTGTATAACATTTCGAATAAACAGACTAAAATGGAATTACATTTCTGTGTTTATTTAATACAATCCTTTGTATTGACCCACTAACCATTGGTGGATATATATGTATATTTTATTGTAACTATGATTATGATTTGCAGCTTTTGAGAATGATTCGTCGAAAAGAAAATTCTCTTCACTGAATTGTCTTTTATTACTTTTTGGAAACCTGATAATCGGGCTAATCAGCGATTAAAAGGCATAATACAGCCGGTCAACTAATAAAAACTGACAGAAATAAGAAGTACAGAGTTTAGGTTTCTACGGCTATCAATTGAAATACATAGCAGGCAGTAACAATAATACAATAGAAGCAGCCATTTATACCTAATATAATTAGGAGAAAGTACAAGGTAACTTTTCGCGAAAGATTGCACTAATAATGTCCACCACAATAACAATGAAAACTTCATAAATAAACCAAACAGTTCAAAGGAAAACAATACTATATAGGCCCCACTTACTGGCACTTCTGTATAACAGTCAAAGTGACCACACCACGCATCAAAATAGCAAGGTGGAAGGTATCAAGATGAAACAGGAGAATGAAGAAGAAAACAGTCGAAGTAGTAGAAAGTTATGAAAAGAGATCAAGAAGGAGTAACAATACATTGGATTTAATCAAACATATCTTTCTAAGAATGATCATTAATGAGTTATACAAGTGGTTAACTCAACGTGACTACTCCATTAGTTGTCAATTATTTCTACCTCAGTTTTCAGTGGGATGGTGTTAATTATGAGGCGATTAACCAGTCCCTTTCAATAAATGAGGAAATCTGAAATAAACAACGTTTCGTAAACTAGTGTCATTCATATGACGTGACCATCAAAGGTGAAATCAAAACCTCATCATACATGGCACGATTTGGACAAAATGTCCCACATAACCAAACTATGTGATTACAATTAACGGACACTTATGCACCATACATTCAAATGACAAACTGACAAAAACCTCTATCATCGAAGTCAGCTCACAACAACATTGTCAGTAACTGCGGTCTCGTAGCCTATTTATTTATTACATTACCATCCAGGTAATCACTAAGCTGTCGATCCATACCCCCCTCCCACCCCACCCCCCATCATCCAGTTTTTTAGTTCACTCACCAATCATCAATTAGCACGAATGATAACACAAGTATCATGCAGGTTAACGGGATACTTACTCCTGCAATAATAAACCTATATTGAATAAAAATGATCTCAACAGCAATCAACACAACTCTGTTGTGTAAAACATAATCCCTCAAAGTCAAGACAAGGTAGTAAGAGAATAACTCAACTTTCAGTGGTCACATTAACAGCTTCAGTCTATCGATCTGGTTGAGAATATCAAGTCAAGCAGCTGGACCACCTCGTCCAACAACGGGTTAATTTATTCCTCTCCTGTTATAGCCATTGGGTTCAAACTCCTAGAGGACGCAGATTTAACTTCATTTTCAATCACTATCCAATACCAATAATAAGGCAGTGAAATGAAACCAAAATCAGAGGCACACAAACATGGAATACTATATAATACAACAACATTACGAAGACACAACCCAAAGGGAAGTGGAAAGACAAAAAAGAAAAACAATAAGAATAAAATGATGAGAAAGCTAATCCAATAAGATGCATTCAAAACAAAACACTCATTACTTTTCAGCAGTAGAAGATAAAAGAAAGCTACATCATGACCACCAGTGATTTCGATTCTCACCACCGTTGCCTTCGTAGTATAGGACGTATTCCGTGGTGTCACCATGTGAGTAATGCAGAAGTTAGGTGTAAAGTTTTAGGGAGAAGAGGTAAGTCAGTCGACGAGGTTGTGAACCTTCATCGACTGAGATGGTTGGGACACGTACTACGTATGCCTAGTCACCGATTGCCTCGTCACACAATGTTGGCTGAGGTGGGTTCAGGCTGGAAAAAGGCCCGAGGTGGCCAGACTAAAACATGGCACCAATGTATGAAGTCTCTGACTGTTGGTTTAAGCCATGTAGGACGATGCAGACTAGGTGGTTAGGGTCCACGGGACAAGAGGAACCAGTGGTTGGAGACCCTAGGTGATATGGCTCAGAACCGAAGTCAGTGGCGCAGATGTATACACACATTATCCTCATCTTAACAACGCTATACCGATTCTCACTATTTTGTCACTCCTCTTTCCTTTCTTCTCATACTTTATATTTCTTTTGACTGCATTCACTTATCTTCATCCTTCACCTCACTACCTTTTTACTTGATGTGCTGATATGAGGTGTGGCAACTCGGACCGTTACGCAGTAATGCCTGGTCCTATGTTGATAATGATGATGATGATGATCGATTCTCACCTATATCTATATCTATATCTCACAACGTCTCAATTCACTGAGTTGCGTCATCTCTCCCATCCCACACACGGACCAGTGATGCACAAACAGATGCTCACCCAATACAACTCCCCTTCATCCCATGGCACCGAGTCAAACACTCAACAACCATCCGCTTCTTCCATACAGTCCCACACCTAGTAGTAAACAGCTAACGGTATGGAAGCCGTCCGCACAACATGCATAACACATGTCCACACCACCGAACCCCGTACTTCCAGAAGACTTCACTAATTGAATGACGACCTCCATCATCCCCAAACACACGCTGTCATACCTCACAATTACTTACGTGCAGTTGCCACCAGATAACAGCAATTCTACGGAGACAAAGATGATTGAACACCCAGAGTCGGCGTACATCCTCAACTAGGAGAGACCAGAATTTATAGGTGTAGAGCAGAACTCCTGACAGTCAAGCGTTGTAAACCCGACAATTTACGATCAGACTAACGTCGCGACGGCGTCAAAGGTGATCCAGACTGGCGTATGTGACTCTAACTTTCGATATGCTTTTAGAAATGGCATCACTCACGCACCTGCATCAGCACTGAAACAACTTCCCAGATACACGAACTTTCTAACTACTTCCAAAGGCTCACTGCCGAAGGTGAGCGAAGACACCAGCTCCTAGCCATCCCGTTTTGCACTTCAATAAGTAAAGGCACTCACAAGCGCTAATGATACCATCTAAATATGGAGACATCGATTTCTTGAACAGTGTTCGAACCCGTGACTTGATGAAAAATATATTCATTGTTTTCAAATCACTTTGTACAGACATTTCATAACAATGATGAACACCAGGACAAAAAGTGTAACTTCTCATCCCTAGCAACAAAAGCGATACTGTATTACCTTTGTAAAGGATAATTCCATTAAGACGACAGAAAAACACGTGAAAACTCACCAATCGCCTGGCTGTACCCTGCATCTCCTGTGCCTCGTAATCGTAAACTAGTTCAGGTATATCCAAAGGGTACTCAACCGCGTTGAAAACCCGAGCGAATTTCAAATTAGCACTTGAAAACCTATGAAAGGAGAAACAATAATTACAATATGGTTTAATCTCCTTGGAACATCAATCACACATCTTACCCATCAGATTCCAAGATTTGATATATATATATATATATATATATATATATATATATATATATATATATATATATATTCCACAAAGAAGCAGTTGAAGCTACACCCTGAGCGAACACAGAGGACCAGTCTACTACTTAGTAGGTTAAAGCCTCGTTCGTTATCGGAACTAACCAGACAAATCGCTTAACCAATTAAGAACGGGCATGCACCAACATCCACCGAATTAAGAAAGAGCTTTCAACCGGCCAATCTGCCGACACATTCTTCGAATCATCTCATCCAATGTCAGTTAAAAGGAGTTTAATCAAATGTCTAGGTGACAGAGCTAAAAAAAACCACTAGTCATTTCACTGTAAGGACTTAAACAAGGGATTGAAACACATAAGAGAAGCGTTAATAATTAACAACTATCTTCTACAGTTTATTAAGAAATTCGTAGGAGAACATAAGAAGCAGAATAATCACAGTAGTACGAATACAAATAATGGCGACAAAATGAATGGAAAGGTGTTTAAAATCTCCATTGTGTTATACTACGAGGAAGAAACATGAGAAACTTTAAATAGGATTCTCAGCAAGACTAAAAATAGTTATGGTGGGATTTAGACCTACAAGCTCACTCAGAGATAAGCTTAGTCAGTTGGCTTAAGGGTCCGATTAATCCAATTAAGTAAAATAATCTAATCTACCAAATTCTATGCAATGACTGTGAGGTCAAGTAACTAAGTGAAACTAGTTGGCTGGGGTCAGTTAGAATAGCGGAACATAGGAATTTAGCCAAGTATAGAATGACAGATCTCAGTAGGATCAATAATGTAGAAACACAATCGACTATTGCAATGCATGCATTAGCACACAACCAACCACACAATAGGGTGGGATAAAACCACTGTACCCAAGTCCAATATGACTAGGTGGAGAGAGAGAGGGGTTTATTGCTGAAGCATTGTTCATCGAATTGGTCAACACGCAACACATGTAATGGGGATGACGCAACACCTTTCTATACCACAGATTTGGGAAACTGACTATAATAACTAGATGTCGAAAGTGATGTGATTACACTGATATGATTATAAGCAATAATTTATGTTCAAGACGTCATCAAGGAAAGAATACTGTATAACTGTACGCTATATATCAAAAGCGAATAAATCTAACAGGGTATTACATTCTACCATCGTTCCCATGTTTACGTATATGTACATTAAACATATGACAGACAGAATGCTCTTACGTTTCAATGTAAAACTTGAATAGTCAGTCAGCTAACAAAAGCGCAATGAATTCTAATTGCATAGACTATTGAATGCTACACCATCACAATTGTTGGCCTTGGAAATATATTAGCGGCTTATGGATGATGCCAATGATACGTTCATAAATGAAAACAGGACTATTGTAATCCCCCTGTATTTTATAACGTGTCAGTATCGTTCTTGACAGGCCCTAGAATTACATAATCTGAACATTTTTGAATGATCGTTTTCGCCACGTTTTTACACCATGGTAGTAGTTAGCTCCCCACCCCATTTCCAAAGTAACTCGCTGATTGGCTGACACTCACTTTTAATAGGTTAATGTTGCAAATCCTGGAAAAGGTCATATATTATGTATGTTACACATACACGTGTTTTGGATTATTTTGAAGAACCATCTCATAGACAGTTAGTTCTTCAATCCAGACCAGTCTTCTTCCCGCTATTTGAGTCTGGATTTTGGAGTAGGTGACATCTGATGTACGAGTTAGCGGTTATTTAATCGCGCATATTACAAGCCCTCAGAAACATAACAACCATGTATCAGCACTCTCACAGTATCAGGGAGACATACACACACCACTTTGTTCGAAAAGGTGTACTGCGTGACAGTACTTGTTCTTTGTATACTACTGTGAAGTGTAACAACTTGAACCGATGCCTTCGCGTGAGAGGTTTTACTTACATTTTATCCGTCTGATATCTTGCTCTGATCACTTTGAATCCTCTTTCAACCTAATCCAACTTCTCTTAGCATGGCACGTCGAGGTAGGTCGTGGCTGCTTGACAACCACCACTCGACTTACACAACTAACCTGACTGATGACCACAGACCCAGACACGCCCATGGATATTCGACTACAGATCCTACAACAAAGTGATGCACTCATTTGATAATCCTTTCAATGAGACATTGCCATAAGACCTCTCGATCGGCGGGTTTGAATACCGGCTTCGCGTCAACAAATACAATGTCGATGGTCGGTAAGTGTCTGTGTTTCACGCCCTGCTGGAGAGTGAATATCTCGTTAATACATTCACCGTCAAGTCGTAAACCCGCTGAATTTTCTCGCGTTTGCTGCTCCTGAACTTCACTCAGATGGCTAATGATTATAGAACGTAGAATGTTAGACACCATTTTTGTCAAACTGATTCCCCTGTGGTTATTGCAGAAGGACTTTTCACCTTTCTTGAAGACTCGGACAATCAGTGATTTAGGCCAATCAAAGAGGACAATATCTGACTCCCCATACATTAGTTAACATTTCAGTTAATCTGACATATAATCCTCATCCTGCCTGAGGTGTTTTTATAGACATCTCTTAAGATATTGTTAGACTTGTAAAGGACATAGCTACTTAGTAGACAACATCAGAGCACATCCCTGTCAAGCGAATCGAGAATAGTTGTAATACCAGAAAAACACAACAATTGGTGTTCGATAATATGTGTAAAGGTGTCGTAGTATTAGATAGAGTGATCAAAGCATTCAAGACTCCAATGGAACTCACTTTGCTCCCTGTAAATCAATTTTTTCAAGCATTCTCCAAACCTGCAAGTATGATAGCGGTCAACATATTCGGTGCAACGCGTAGCAGACTGATACCCCAAAGATCAAAAACACGTTAAGAAGTATACTTCTTGAAGATGAGTACAAAGATGACGCCACTTCGAAGTTATAGAGCGCTTAATTTGTCATACCTTCGCAAACATTCTATTCAGATCTGTGGCAACTGTCATCTCTGAAATTAAAAAAGCCGGAGACAGATTATCTGCACCCCAGGCTTAGTGGTTCTTTAGTACTTAAAGTCGCCTCCGAACCTCCGCTTTGGCGGATGGGTCGGTTCATAGACCACAGCGTACAGGTGAAGATGAATTTCACACAAACTTATTTAATTGTATCAAAAATAAGTTATTTTTCTTTACTGAAGTCTGCTACAAAAAAGTTACAGCTTACGCTGGAGTAATCTTTTGGATGTTACAAAATACCTACTTATTAATAACGGCTGTGAGAACACCACTTACGCAAGTCTGTTATTCTTGATACTCATTCCAAATTTTAAACCTCTCCGCCATTCTATTATTTTAAGGTCGTCACGTAACAAACGATCACCACTTAAATCGATCTTACAAGCATTTTCTGCAATCTAAAAAGAATGTTCAACAAAAGACGGATAAATATGACAACTGGAAATCTTTTTCAATATAAGTAGTTTAAGCCAAAAATTAAATAATGTATTTTGAGACTAATAAAAATCTTATGTAGCATTCATCACGGACTGACATCATTTGAAGAACCACCGAAAACGTGAAAGCGCTGGACAGCCATTTCGTCCCAGTATGGGTTCCTCAGCAGTAGGCGCCCACGACTTGGAGGTCTTGAGTTCGATGCCTAAGAGGGTCGTCGGTACGTTCTGTTGGGGAGTCCCATGCAAGAACAAAACAGCTATTCAGTGCTCTCAGGTTTAAATTGGTTCTCCAACTTATGTCAGTCCGTAATGAATGTTGCCTTAAAAATAAATAGTGTACAGAATATTTAAGACAATGAAAGCTACATATAAAACAAAATAGTTTAAGATAATAATCATAATTAGCACTATAGTAATGAACGCTACTGATAACAATGCATATCAGTAGTATAGTAAGGCAAAAATACAAACCATTGAGACCCGTCAATTCAGTCCAATCAACGACGAGAAATTACAAGCAGTAACATCAAAACTATGCTCACCGCACAAGGAGTGGCTATCGTAACTCAGTGGCCTAGTGAATAACGCTCTAACGTACGACGCCATCGGTTATGGGTTCCAGTCTTAGTGGCGACATTACTCACTGATGAGCAGCTGATGAGTTCCAAACAGAATGAAACGTGAGTTCTGAACTACGCTTATGTTGACAACGGAGCAGAAGCAAATGTTTGGATGCATTTGCACTACTGAGATCGATTTTGAATTATATCACCCAGAGTCTCTAATCCCCAATTCTAGTTGTCTCATGAACCGCAACCGAAAAGTCTACATTTTCTTGGTAATAAACTGGAATTATCAAGTCAGTGAATTGCAAATTGAAGCAATTGGATGAGAAACGGGGGGTTTATGTACAGCATTATGACGCACTATGCAAGAGCCTATTACGCTGACTGGTCGTGCAAGACGAAGCAGGTGGAGCAAGATGTGAACTCACCACTCATTGTTTGAAAATCAAATGCCGAAGCGTCCAGATACGGTTCAGGGTAGAATAATTTACGTCATCCTTTTAAGATGCTTTCATATGGCCTATATGTATGTTTTCTGGCAGGAGAGTCTTACTACCTTCACATGACAGGCGTTTTCATAAAAGTGAGGGTGAGAGCGGACGTTCGGTACCCTAACTGGATTGGTGTACACATAGGAAAGTTGGTAAACTCCAATTCTACACCAGCTGTGACCATAGGCCCCACCTATCAGGAAGGCGGTACAGAGTGTGAGCCTATCCTAGTCACCTGCAATCAGCACCTCACGTTATTCCACCGCCTTTCGGATCAGACGTCAAGTCAAAGGTTCAGAGGATGGTTTAAGACAAACATCTGCTTTGGTCTAGGGGTCCGAGAAATATAACATCCCCTATACAAATTATGAATCAGCATTAACAACAAAATGCACAAAGCGACTGCAAAATCTACTTGTGATGAACTTTCTGCTCAATAATTCAGTTAGTTACCCTTATATTGTCTTTCCTTTTTGTGTAGAAAATGTACAAATGTTTCGTCATTATTTTCAAATTTATCTTCACATGCGTCTCTGACTTATTCAGTTGCTCGTTACCGACTATAATTCCGGCATGACCGCACCGTCTTGAGTAGCTAAACAATTGCTTCCATAAGGCTACAGTATCGGAAGAAAATCGAAACACACTCAGCAACCTTGTACACGTCCATGCAGTGGACAACAAACCACACCTATCGTGTGAGCCCTAATTATACTATCTGGTTGCCTAGATCTCCGTAGGTGGACCAGGGTTCGAAACTCACTACTGGTTGGAAATCAACTTCCTGAACCAATGAGCTACAAAGCTGTCCATCAGTGCAATATCTGATAAAACTATTCTGAAACGATGCACACTGCTTAAGCTAGTCACCTTCAATACTCGGATGTTGGTGCAGAATCGATAACAGATACGTTTGGCTAGGACTCTGAAAAGCTTTGTTACACGTGTATCTCTACATTCCCAGTCACTTACTTCCAGTTAACATTCCCATCAGTTGGCTCAAAAGCTGTATTCACAATGTGCTTATCTATGGATACTGGAGTCAATAGTCTGCCTTGCTGACGTTGTCACACTGAGTTTCAGAGTCGAAGCTGCACTGGTCGACAGGACCTCCACCAAAAGTAATCTGTATACTGTTAGGATAGAAGGTTCGACTGGAGCGAGAAATGACTGGAGAACGATGCCTCTTCGATATCTTTGTCTATGCCTCGACTGACTGCAGCGCAGAGTTTCACCATCAATTAACTGACTCTTATCAGGTTCCCCTGACATATATCGTAGTGCCAGCTGGAGAAGTGAATGCATAAGTGGGGCCCACATGGAAGTCTAGGTTCGGAGGAAGTTCGTTCAGGTGACCAACGGGGATTTAGTCGCTTGCAAGTTAGACAATGAAAAACATCTGCAGCTTTGCGCAGAATCACTATCTGTTTCCATGTAGTACAAACTTCCAGGATAGCCATCTCTGTTGTACTACGTGGAGCCCTCTCTGCCACTCAAACACAAACTCAATTAGATCATATTGCAACCAACTGTGGGTGGTGGGAGTGTATTCAGAACTGTCTAGACTTTGATTGCAATCTTGTGTGCGACAAGTCCACCTTGCGTTTTGGTGGTCATCAAAATAGTCAACGGAAATGGGTAGACGTAAAGAAACTGGTAGTACCTAGTGTGTAACTCAATACCAAACCGAGATAGTATCAAACCTCCAAAAGGTAAAGATGAGTACTAGCTGTCCTTATGAGACACCATGAATGCGGTAAGGCAGCTTATGGCTTTAGAAAACGCATGCCAACTGAACACTAAGCCTCTGAAAGCACCGTGAAAATTCTTGATACTTATCAGTTTATTCCGATAGACAGTGAGTAAACTGGTGCCCCCAAGTCACGGCCCGACAGATCAAACAGTATCTGCTTAAACATCGTTAGGCCACGTGGTCAGAACACACGAATGAGTTGGAAGAAAGTTACACTTAGTCGTTCCCACTCATCCGAGCTCCCAATAGCGAGAACCCTGGTGTGAGCGAAACGGTCCGTGAAGCAGATAGTCTGATGGTCACCAACTTTCACAGTCACCTCGAACGCTAGGCCAAGCACTTAGAAAAGCAGCTTCGTTGGCCAACTGCTCCACCAACACCAACTTCAATGTCGTGTACTCTATGGTCAGTTTATAAATTTATGTTTGTGAATCTAGGTAGAACAACGTCGACTTCACACATATAGCGGTATTATGATAAAAAGTGGGAAACTAGGTTGGTATTTCATCAAAAGAAGGACTCCTAGGATGTTTTTCATTGCTCAATGAAATGATGGAAGACGTATGCATGCTTTTAGTACTATCATTATGGTCATAATTGCTACTATTACCATCATTATTATTGCCGTCACTATCATTATAGTTACTACTAGTATTCGTCATTACTGCTACTATTATTATTGTCATTATTATCATTTACTGTTGTTATTGTATACACTCCTTACCATTATCATTATTGCTCATGACCATTAGTTATGACAGCTATTATTTTTATCATTGCTATCATTATCATTATTCATTATTAGTAATAGTAGCAGTATTATTATTATCATTATAAGGCATATGGTAGAGCAGCAGCATCAAGAAATGCGCCATACAGAATAATATAACAACATTACGAAGACACAACCCAAAGGGAAGTGGAAAGACAAAAAAGAAAAACAATAAGAATAAAATGATGAGAAAGCTAATCCAATAAGATGCATTCAAAACAAAACACTCATTACTTTTCAGCAGTAGAAGATAAAAGAAAGCTACATCATGACCACCAGTGATTTCGATTCTCACCTATATCTATATCTATATCTCACAACGTCTCAATTCACTGAGTTGCGTCATCTCTCCCATCCCACACACGGACCAGTGATGCACAAACAGATGCTCACCCAATACAACTCCCCTTCATCCCATGGCACCGAGTCAAACACTCAACAACCATCCGCTTCTTCCATACAGTCCCACACCTAGTAGTAAACAGCTAACGGTATGGAAGCCGTCCGCACAACATGCATAACACATGTCCACACCACCGAACCCCGTACTTCCAGAAGACTTCACTAATTGAATGACGACCTCCATCATCCCCAAACACACGCTGTCATACCTCACAATTACTTACGTGCAGTTGCCACCAGATAACAGCAATTCTACGGAGACAAAGATGATTGAACACCCAGAGTCGGCGTACATCCTCAACTAGGAGAGACCAGAATTTATAGGTGTAGAGCAGAACTCCTGACAGTCAAGCGTTGTAAACCCGACAATTTACGATCAGACTAACGTCGCGACGGCGTCAAAGACGGCCCAGATTGCACTTCGATGGTGCTAAGAACATACCATACTTACTAAGTGTCCGTTATTAGGGATTGGATGTTAGGATTCGGAATTTAGATTAACGATTGAGCATGCAGATTAGAGAGAACACAAGTCAATTCTCGGCTATAAAACCAAATACAGACTTCTTTTGACATTTTACAGTTTATGAAAGATAAATCCATCTCATATTCTTGAAAATTTTATTCATTGTAATCTTCAAATTCATAGGTAAAACCTACACTGCTTGAAAAACAACTCATGGATTAAGGTCATCCTACTATTCGCCTAAGTGGGACATGACTATGTGATTCCACCAGTTTTTGATCCGATTCAGTAATGCTAAATTCTTGATTTAATGACAAAAGCAATCGTGCCATAGTTTTCCTATGCATACCACTTGATTCACAGACTGATTATGAAATATTGTAGCATAAGTAATTACTTGGGAATAAAACTCACAATATATATATCGTCGTCATCATAAACATTTGTTGCTGAGCCATCAACAGGAAGAATGTAAGAATAACGATCCATATTATCCATATAATAATTTCCAAGTATATCTTCATAGGCATTTAAGAAGTCATCAGTGAGATTTCGTGCATTCATCTCCCAAGGCTGAAAATGATGATTAGAGAAGTTTAAAAGCATACTAGTTTACTTGAAAGCTACACATCACAATAAATTGTGTGCGAAATGTTATCCAGTAAATACTGCTTAATTTGGAAGCTTTTGGGGACTGATCGATTTCCAGGTAGTATTCATCAAGGACTAACATCAGTTAGAGAATCATTAGTGATGAATACTACCCTGAACTCAATCAGTCTTCACATACCTCCCAATTGAATAAAGATCTTGCGTTCATTAGTGACATGCTTAGAAATGGGTTTCTCGAAGTCTTAATGGGACGCCATGATCTGTGAGGTTAACTGAGTCACGTTTGGGGAAAAATACTGGCCAATTATGTTGAATGATGGTAACGCTGCATTGATAATTGACAGAAGTAAGAAAAATGTGGACGAGTGAATTCTGACCCAGCCACTAAGCAGTACCGCGCTAGGCATAAGACTTAACAATTCTGGGTTCGATGTTGGATAGGGTTATGAATGCGCGCTGTTATGGAGTCCCACACTACGACGAAGCAGCTGTCCAGTGCTCCCAGGTTTTCAATGGTTCTTAAGTCGGTTTCAGCCCGTGAAGAACACTACCTTGAAAAATAACATACAATTGTACTATACTATAGTTCTACCTTTAGATAACAGAGATTTTCGATACATTTCTGATACATGCCAGTTGGGGAAACTACAGCGAGATTAACGTCCAGAAAGTCACTAAAAACCCAAACCACAGCAAATCAATGTTATGTATCAACTAACTTATTGTGAATAGATGAATCTTCAAAAAATTAGAAAGGAACTATTCGCTTAAGATATATTAAAAAAACACATGATTAACATCAATTCGAAATCGGAGAGCTACATAAACTATGGGTCATTATCAGTTCAAAGTTAAATTGTAACTAAAATCTGTTTCTCATTGTCATTTCACTGAGCTATTCACTATTTTCACACTATCAGTAAACTACAGCAAGTTTGAAAAAAATTTTAGAAACTATTATCACTAATGATGTTAGAAAAGCTTAGCTCCGAAAAAAGCACTCTTATCCTTCGCGGTATGCCGATGCCTGCAACAGAGATTCATAGACAGATTCAAAGGTAAAAAAGCAAAATCTCAAACTTGCCAAGTGGCCATGTGTGACCGGCCTTAAGTAGATGTCCCTTGGGCCTTATGGTCACACGTTGTATCTTATTTTTCAGGTACCTCAAGAAGAACTAGCCCTCCATCGTGTGGGCAGCCAAGAAGTGTCAACCGCCCACACGCTTATAGTGGTACACAAGACGCATAACCTATCCTATTCAAATGTCTCCTTCTTCACCTTCATCTCCTGATACTAACACAAAGCCTTTCACACCTTCCCCAACCTCTCATTCTGCGATCACTGCCAACGATCGAGGCCATCGAAACCTCTTTCCTAGTCTCCTAAGACCCTGCCATCGATTTCACGTAGGAGCTTTCAACGTCCTAACTCTATGCCGAATTGGACAGCAGCGCTAGCTAGAACTCTAGAATCTCTAACCATGGATATGTGCTGGGTCTCCGAGACACATAAACAGAACCCGAGTACGGTTATTTAATTGACTTCACCTCACCAGTGCAGCAAATCTTCAAGATTCACTTTTCAAGAACCCGGAGACCCCAGTGGCTACCTATCTTTGACCCGTTGGTGTAGGCATAGCATTGGGCTGCACTGCAGAAAGTGTACGTCTCGGCTAGATACTGTTTATGAGCTGTTCAACTGAATGTATCTGTAAGAACTAGAAAGGGTCGCGAGACCAACTAAGGCTTATTTGTGATCCTCGCCTACGCACCCACCGACTGCATTTCGCACGATGCAAGGACGAATTCTACAAAAAGGCTGTCAAAAGGTTCAGAGGTAGTCATGATGGCTTGGACATGTGTTGCTTATGCTGAGTCACCCCCTAACTCAACGCACCAAGCGAGGGGAAGCTAGATTACGTTGGAAGAGGGTTCAGGGTGGCCAGACCAACCCCAATCAGGGTTTTAGAGATAATTTGAATGAATGTTTGGAGACCACAGTGATATGGCTTCAAATCTGGTAAAATGGAGATGCATTTGTTTAAGTTTAAACATTCTCACTAACCTTGACTTTCAATTTTTCTCGCCTCCAATACACTTTTTTAGACTCTGATATTGCTCTTTTTTTACTTACTTGTTTTTACAGAAGTTCAAGTCTGGAGGAAATAAGACACCGAGTAGAATAGACTGGTCGATTCTGCGTTGCAACAAACTTCAATTTGTAGAATACATGGCACTAAAAGCAATTTGATCACCAGTGCGACCGAACAGCTGATGATGGACCCTCCCTGTAAGTGACTTTAAATTAAGCGAGTTGGTGATCAGAAAGTAGTGACCCTTTGAAGACAAAAAAGACCCTGATTTGAGACATAGCCTGATTCGTGTGCATTCTAACGACAACTGTAATAAGCACTTCAAGATACTGCAAACGGCTTTTAGAGAAACCCATTAAATGTTTCAAGAGACCAGATCGACAGCAAAATAAACCTCGCATACATTGTGAAGAAAGTAACTAACACATAACTTTAGTAGTATTTTTAACCATAAAGTTGACAACAGAAAAAGTGTGTGGTACTTTTTTAAAAGTTGCTGACATTATTGACTTGATGCGATGACAAGCCTCATTTCTGTGAACTCCGACAAGAAGCCGATCGGTAATGTGAAGTAAAGACCATTTTTGAGACGACCAATCGGGTATTTGGGTGGATAGAACCTAAAATAATTCATGTGCTTATCGCTCAAGGTAAAACAATGCAGAATTTGTTAGAATTTAGGACGTTTGAGGGTAAGGAATTATGATTATTTTGAGGGCAACTAACGAGTTTGACAAATAAAGTGTAGGAGCTAACAATACAATGTTTACTGTTACACTCTTGTCTTGACGGTTTGGTCGATATTGGTACCAACTTCAGTCGCGGTTTCCTAAAGCTGGTGCTAATTATTACTATTACCCAGCTTACTGTGTGCAAGTTGGTCCTACAGAAACTAACGTCGCACCAGCTGTTTGAGACAGAAAACAAAAAACATTTCCCTACATGGGTCAGACCAGCAGGCAAATACCGGTGCCATGCTTACGTCTGGCTGCGTCTAACGTTTTTCCAGCCCAAACTTATTTCAGCTAATACTATGCGATGAGAAAGGGTGAATACGCAAGCGTAATACGTATCCCAGTAACCTGAAACAAGGAAGGTTCACAACCTTATCAAATAACTTTCCTCTTCTGCCCAAAACTCTACGCTTGACTTCTATGCTACTGACATGGTGACATCACAACACAGCCTATGATACGAAGGCAATAGTGGTCAAAAAACTGAAAATTTCGCATGTTTTCAAACCTAAATTACCATGTTTCACATCCACATAGTAGAATATAGCCAGCTGCAGAACAGTATATTTGACACATAATAAACTCGAACACCACCGTGGTGCAACAGATGGCGCAAGTTGGTAAAGGTCAAACGGGCCTTTTCTATCCGTGATAAGATTCCGTCGGTCACTGACGCATCACCACTGGTCCCACTTTCCAAGTAAGTGAATTGATCTAAACGCTCAATCACTTCACTCCCTACTGTTGAACAAGGCACTAGTGAAAACCAGTCCTGAAAAAAGAATTTGTACCCCAGTGAAAAATGCATACAAAACATTTGCAAACGGCTGCTTTGAGTCTGCATCACCACCTAAAAGGAAACTGGTTTATTGTTTAGTACTAAAATGCGAACCCAAGGACTGAACTAGAAACTGTTGTGAAAACCGTTTTCCCGATTTCTTCCATTTCATGCAGAGATACAGGAAACCCTGTATAACGAAAGTGCGTTAAACGATCTCATGCAATACAAATTTCCAGTTCCCCCGTATACATCCTTGAATAATATGGTTGAAATTATTGGCAGGTACATGGAGTAAAGTCAGTTAGCGAAAAACCCAAGAACAGCGAATCATTGCAAACCTATGGTAACCGTGTGTTGAATTTGATTACGCTTGAATGGTACAAGATAAAAACAGTTGTCTGGTGTTGTATTCAAGTTATGAATGGTACCAGTGCATCAGCAGAATTTCGACCACTTTTTTCTTAAACACGGTTATTTTCAACTGTTGTAAACCACGACATTAAAACTTTGGCATACTACATGCACATGCATCCTAATACTTTTTCGGAAACTTAAGTTTTAATTAAAAGTGCAACACACACGTTAAAAGTAGAACTTTGGAAGTTATTTAGCTTCCAGAAAAGGAAAGCAGATTCGAATCTAAGACAGGATATGTAATTGTTGGAGTTGCTTTCGAAGTTATCATAAGTATCAAATTATCGACATGACTTTATCATAAACGAAAAACTTTTTCGTACCGACAGATGCAACTGTTTAGAAGCATCTTCAACATTTAGACTAGGAGAATGTGCCAAAGTTAGTAGGACATTAGACAGTGCCGATCCTAGTGAGCATTGAGAATCTGAGCCATTATAACCTGGACTTAGACATGTAGTTATTACTGGGCCATGATCAACTTGGAAAGAATGCAAGGCTTACAACCTGGATATTAAATAAAACCCAAATGATCCCAGCAACTATTTGAACATTAGAGCAGTAGGTAACAAGCTATACCTCCTGTGGAATGGCAGGTGATACTGCCTAGGTGGGACGAGGTCCGAATTAATTGGTTGAAACTATACATCAGCGGTTGGAAATCCCAACAGAAACAACACTATAGTTGTACATGGGATTCCAGAATTGCTAAGTGACAGCTCGGTCAGAGATCGGTACTTTCACGACGTCCAACAACGGCAATGGCTCTCAACCAAAGTTGGTCTCAACAGTATACCGGCCAACAGCGTCAGTAGACTGCCAAGGCCAGCGTACCTGAAGACCATACCCAATCCCAGACTACTCGCCGTTCAGTTCGACTCATATGCCTCCCTCACAGACGTTCTGCACGCATGGTATAATGCGAAGGATCGCATGGGTGGCTCAATACGTATATGTGAAAGTAAGCCTAGACCCACAAGGCAAGAGGAGAGACGGCAACCACCAAGACCTCTGGAGTCAGTGGTCGTCACACAGGCTCTGACCAGTGAGTTAGATACACCAAGTAAAGAAGCCACCACTGCCACAGCCCCCACCCAAGTTAAGAACAAAACACAAAAAAACGGAGCAATGCCAGTCCTATGAGGACTGGCGAGGCTAAATTCAACCACGTAAGCGCTCATCCCTCAAAATACACATCCAGACCTCCCCTCTCATTAGGTACACTTTAATATGTATGTACAGCAACGTTAGGGGGCTAAGAGGGAAGGTAGCAGAAATGAGGACGCTGCGTGAACATCAGCACTACGACATCATATTCATCACCGAATCCTGGCTCTCATCGGACATCTCCGACGAAGAGATGCATGTTGCTGGCATGGAACTCTTCCGCAGGGACAGGGAACATAGAGCAGGAGGGGGAGTGGCTATCTACGTAAACTCCTGTTTAAAGGCAAGGATGGTTAGCGATACGGCCTTAACCCAGCTCCCAGAGTCTCTATGGTGTTACTTCACTCTCTCTTCATTCCTTTACCACTACCTTACTATTCTCTTTCAGGTACCCACACAGACAGGAGTCACGGCAGTTCTCTAAACTTCCCAGCAACCCGTAGCTCCCTAATCACTCTACAAATTACAACCTACTAACCCACAAAACATCCACCTCACCGAAGCTAAAAGCAAGAAAGCAGAGGGGATTTCCTCGTCCACTGCAGGAATAAACTGAACAACTGGAACCAAGCCCTAAGAACTAGACGCGAGAGACCAAAAACTACCAGTTTTCTACGCTCGCACTATCAATATTGGATATTGGATCATAAACCAATGATCTACAGTTCAGTTGTCCAGTCTTACCTGGATATGATGCACACTTTCATGCTAATGACATACATTGAAGTGAAGGATGTATCTCCCATATGCAAGAGGAAAAGTAGTTCAATTTAAACTTACGATGTTACGTTTCTTTATCCGTTCACGTATTTGCTTTATCGGAGCCTTTATGTAAATCATTATGTGCGGTTTCCATAATTCAGTGACAGTTTTTGCATGATTCTGCTTGAACCATAATAGTCCTATGGTTTCAAAAAGGTACAAGCGAAAACTTACCACGCTCTGAGAGATAATTACATTTAAACATAGCATCAGCAAATGCAAACTCCGAGAATGGACTTCGGTCAATAACCACTCCCTGACCTACAGAATAAGTACGTTTTCGTGAAAATTACCAGTGTTAAACAAATGGCATAATGCTTTTAAATAGTTCCAGTAGCGTCTTAAGTAGAAATGGTACTGAAGGTAGAGTCCTTTCCCTTCCTTTATTAAGTCCGCCTCATTCCAAAACATTTCACATGTGTAGTACTTCGCAAACTTTGGAAGAAGAAAATTATGACATCGAAGATCAAAGTATGGTTCCAGACTTTTGTCAATGTAGATATCATCTTCGGTTGGGTCAGGAAAGTATGCCATTCCAAAGTATTCAGCCAACTTTGCAGCAACTTTGGATTTTCCCGACGCAATATTGCCTTCCACGACTATTACTTTCGAGTTGTCGTTGAAGCGGAACGCAGTTGGGTCAAAAAACATTCTAAGACTAAATCCTTTGCGAAAGTAATCAAACGAAGGGGACTTCGCAAGCTTGATGTCGCCATCTGCTGCAAGCTTCAACGTACTGATAGGACGTCCTCTCAGTAACCTACTACCTCTGTGGAATAACCCCACAGCTCTGGATGTCATTTGCTGACAGTTGCAATGTACTGACAGTATCCTACACTCCCAAAAGTAGCGCAATCCAGTTGATTCCACCGCGCTCCAGCATACAACATCAATGGTGCTAATGAAGAAAACTTGTAGTTTTTGAGCTCCTGCTTCTAAGTCTTGAGGATCGGCTCTTTTTGTTCGATTAAACTCTCACACTGGCCGCAGAAGTGTGAACATTTTTCCTGTTTGTAGCTTTGGAAGCATTGGTTGTCTGTTTAGGGTATTATCTTGCTTATTCCAATGTCTAATATTGATATTGCAAGCGTATAGAAGTTATCGTTTATGATCTCTTGAGTCTAGCTCTTAGAGCTTGGTTAGATTTGTTTGGTTCACTACCGCAGTGGATAAGGAAATTCCCTCCGCTTTCTTGCTTTTAGCTTCGTTGAGATAGATACTTAGTGGGCTAGTAAGTTGCAATTTTATACAGTGGTTGGGAAAGTTAGGGGACTGTCGTGACTCCTGTCTGTGTAGGTAACTTAATGAGAATAGTAAGGTACTGGTAAGGAATGTAGGAAAAGAAAAAAAGAAAACAGAATGAAAAAAGTAAGTCGGGGTTGTCCGAGAGGTAAAAGTAGATAGCTTAGGTCCATTTTCTGGACAAGAATTAGTAGGTAGTGTGAGTGTGTTAAGGAGAGAGAGATAGCTAATGGTAGATGGAAGAGAGATAAGGGAGGGCTAGTGGGGCTAGTGACTTCTTGAGTTCGTCTGTGGCAGACGGTGCAAAGTAGCGTAACTGATGCGCTATCCCAAAGGGATTTCCTCGAGGTGACGTCTATATTGCAGGCGGGGCCAATTTATTTGCTTGGTTTGCCTGATGGGCAATCTTGCAGCCCATAAGAAGGTTACCTCTTTTCCTGCGGTAACCGGTAGTGAATAGGTTTGGGCATTTGTTCTTTCGGAATATGCCTCCCTCCTTAGCCCCACAACTAATTTTGTTGCACACCCTTCGAGGAGATTAGAGTCTCTATTGCATGTTGGGGGGCCACTGTATTGAAGACCTCTAGGTGTAGCCGTACGTGGGATTTGGAAACGGTGAGGAGGAAATTGGGGTTGAGGGCAATAAGCTTCCCGCACAGAAAGTGCAAAACGACGCTCGCTCTGGTTGTCACCTGTTTGCGGTTGGAGCTGGTGTTCAAGATGTCGGAGACGTTAAGCCCCAAATCTTTCTCCGTGGACACTCCGTGATGTCAAGGTTTCTCAAAATGCGTCGGAAGTCGGCCGTACCTGCTTCAGGCTTATTGAAGTGCATTACTTTGCACTTTTCCGGGTTGAAGCTCAGGCCATTTTTTGACGATCAGAGTTCAAGTTGCTGCAGGTTATTTTGTAGCGCTGTGCAATCTGCCTCCTCGTTTACTATCCTCCAAACCTAAATGTTGGTGAAGAGAGGAATGAATGAGGATATTTTGTGTGGCAGATCATCGAGAGGGAGCAGGAACAGAAGTGGTCCTAGGATTGCTCCTTGAGATGCTCCTGACGCCGACGGTCTCCACTCCGATCTTATTCTGCCTACTTTGGTGCAGAACTGCCTCCCCTCTAGGTACTCCTTGAGCCAAGAGAGTAGGGGTTCACTTTTACCAGCTGACATGATTTTGTGAAGCAGGACTGTGGGTGAGACACTGTCAAATGCTTCAGCTGGGTTGAGAAAAATAACATGTACCGGTTTTCTGTTGTCCCAGCCGTGTTCAGCCGTTCCAGACGGCTAGCAAGTTGGTGACCACTCCGGAATCCATGCTGTGCGGCATGCACGGTGTTTTCCCTGTCCAGGAATTCCTAGATTGTGTCAGCTACTAGGCCTTCTAACTTTTTCGGTGGTATAGGAAGTAGAACAATCGGTCTGTAGTCGCTATGGCTTTTTCTGTCTCCTCCCTTGGGGATAGGGGACTTCAGATTCGGATTTGTTGTTTGAGGTTAGGGGGGCCATGAGCCTACGGTATCAATCCTTTCGCGGTAGACTTCTGTGCTTGTCCATTCCCTCTTTGAAGAAGTCGCTTGATTATGAGGACACCACTTCTTCTGCGAGAACTATACTAGTAACTGCCCTCTGAACAGTTTCTAGAAGGTCTGCATCACCTTTCAGACAGGGGTTCGTCTCTAGTGTACATTTTTCTAATTTAGACCTGACTAAAGATGTGCATAAGATGGTGAACATGTGACCACTTATTTTTTGCAAACGCTCCATGTAATGCCCAAAGTGTCGTGAAACTACGAGCTGCTACCAGTCGATAGTGGACAGTGGTTTTCAAGTCATAGCCCACTGCGACTCACGGGTCATTGCGGGTCAGCACTTACGTTAAAGGAGTCCCACCAATATCGTAGGTATTCCTGTGCAGGTGCCTCAAGTGCATGCTTACACATTTACCTGGACTGGTAGGCATCAGCCACTTCTCCGACCAGGTAAATAAGCTGTTTAAGTCTGCCTGAAGTGCACGTATGTCCCTGTCGTTCCTAATTTCCCGTCAGGTATTTACACCATCAGCGTAGAGAACCACATAAGATTTCGTGATATTTGGCAGCTCATTTACGTGTAGAAGAAATAGCAAGGGATCCAGGTTTGCACGTCACGGCACTCCACTCTCTACCGACTTTCAAGAGGAAGTCGCGCTTGACGCACCTGTATCTGGGTGGGGAGCGGTGAGGCTGCTGGTGAGATCAGTTCCAATATCTAATGTCTTTTCACGAGCAAGTGTAAAGCAACCAATTTTTTTCTTTCTCTTCTAGGTCCTGAGGGACGGTCCCGGGTCTCTGGTTGATTACGATTCACTAGGCCTACCCACTCGCCTGCTGCAGTTGTGGTTAGCCCGACGGGCAGTTGTGTTGATTAAGCTTATAGAGACCGTGGGGTTTTTTCAAGGATTGTGAAGCGGATAGGTTTCTCAAGTGCCTTGCCACCAGGTAATTGGTAGGACTAAGTGGAAAAAGGAGATATTAAAGATATCCAGAGAAATGAAGGGAGAGGAAGTATGAAGAAAAGGAAACAAAAAGCGATGGGGTGAAAGGACGCAGAAAGGAAGGAGAAACGTAGGTGGATTCTTGTGAAGTTAATGATTGGGAGAACTTTTAGTGAACAGCAGTGTAAAAACATAGAGTCAAAGGGAGGAGAATGAGCAAAAAAGATTATAGGACGGGTTATTGGAATGTGGAAAGCAATACTATTAGCAAGAGATGGTAACTGGAGATGTCTACAGGAAAATATTAATCGCAGCCAAGTTCACGATGATAGCGGCGTCACAAAAATTTCCACAATGGTTTAGCTGTTCAACTTGTTCTTGAAGCCGTCTACAGATGGATCAGTAGCAATCTCAGCTGGCAATGCGTTCAAGTGGCCGCAAACCCACAGAGAGGAGTGTGAAGGCACACGAGATTTTGCCCTTTGGTGAGCGATTCTCCTTGGGTTACCATGAGGATTGCCAAGGTGGCCATTCGATGGTATTCCACCGTCCGGCTGAATCGGATTACTTAGTGTTTTGTAACCCTTTATCAAGTCTCCAGGCAATCTGCGGTAGCTAACGAAGCAGAGTCCTAGGTCTTTCAGCCTGTCCTCAGAGGGGTTTGCCTGATCCTCACGACATCCTTCGTAACCAGCCTCCAGACTTTCTCCGGGGGGTTCACACCTCCTCTCAGGTATGGTGGTGAATGACCTTGTGGACCCCTAGGTGAGGTCCTACGGGGCCTCGGGAAGAGTTTCGGAGCGGGGTCACCTAGCTGCCTGCGCGCGAAGCACAGTACTGCGTAGGTTCCCATGGATAACTAAAAATAGTGTTTAGCTCGTCAGTTTGTATTGGTCCCATTGCCTTCTTTGTGGTGATGTGAGAAAGCAGTGTTCCACAGAGAGGATAGGGTACCTTTTATGGGTCAGCGGCAAGGAGAAATATGGTTTAGCGCTTAACATGATTCAGTGCCGGCCTGTTATTATCCACTCACTCTGCAACCAGTCTGAGATCCCTCTGCAATGCACCTGATTTTGCTTCTGATGTCACAGCTCTCTATGGATTAACACCGTCAGCATTAAATAGGATTGGGGAGCTGAGGCCCAATCGGAGGTTATTCGTAAAGAGAAGGACTACCAGGGGACCCAGAATCGCTCCTTTTGACATGCTAGATGACATCCCCAACGTCAAGCAGACTCTGTTGGCTTTTGTGAGGAATTATCTGTCGTCTTAATAGTCCCGTGGCCAGGAGGGCAGTTGGCTGCTGATATCTTGCGGATCGCAGTGGTGTATGGGACCATGCCAAAGGTATTAGCAAAATCCAGGAAAACATCTACCAGACTTCCCATCACTTTCAACACCGCTGGCGGAAGTGATATGGGGTGGTGGCATTTCTGACTCTGACTGTCTCCCCTTCGAAGACGGGAGGCAGAATAGCTCGTTTCCGCCAAGTGGAAG